GTCACAAAGTGCGCTCTAGATTTCTTCAAGAAGCTAAAAACAGAGTGTAACGATGTTTTCACCAAACATTGGACCTGTCTTGATTACCACAACCAAGAGTTTGGTTATTGTAGAGCAACGCAGAAGAAATTCGATGCCTGTGTTTTGGAAAAGCTTGGATTGGAATGCGTTCAGCCTACTCACATTGAACTCCATGATTAATTTAACTTGTGACTTAGTCTTTTAATTGCAGACACTGGACGTTGATTAACAGGATTTCTTTGTGCGCAAGATATTGGACTTCTGGTAACAATATTTTGGACTTTGTTAGCTAGCTAGTAAGTAAGATGCGTTTGTTAAACCATGGTTAAAGGAAGTCCCTTTTGAACGTGCATTTTCCGTTACAGGCTACTATAATAGATTGTTTCACTGTAAAAATAAAGTTTTCTGATGGATATTTCTCTGCCTTGTTTAAATGGCAGGGTTATAAACTACACACTTTATAACTGATGGTTTGATGTCTTTGGTTTGTGGACCCAGTGACGCTTTCCTTTTCCCTCTTAGTCTCCAGCCTCCCTATGACAGGCCTCTGCAGAGGAGAGAGAACAGAAGGGGTTTTCTCTCACTACCTTCTCCTTTTTCCGCCTACTCTGAATGCAATCCCACAAAGGGGAAACTCCCATATGAAAGTGATAGGAGTATCAATGACTAGCTTAGGGGTAGAAAGTGCAGATTTTGGTCTCATTTAGGTTATTCAGGACGAAAAAACCAATATTTTTTCCCTCCAAGGTATCGCTTAGGGTGCACTTAAATAGCCTGCGTGGCAAACGTTTGAAAGGGAAGGTAATTACTGGCACGCCGGAAGCACGAAAGGCACGCAAGGGGAAGGGAAGGAAACGCCTGTAAGGACGCTATTGCCTTTTTCGTTTTTCTCGTCCACCAGTGAGATATAAAAATCCTCATTGGTCAGTATTCCAAAAGTGTCAATCAAAGCCTTAATACCTTAATCTGATTGGCGGAAATCAACATCATACTATTTGAGTAACTTGATTGATCTTTCAGTAATCATTGGATATAGGATATGGCGAGTGAAGCGGAAATCGGAAAAGATTTCGAGTTTGTTGTACGGGAATTTAACCTTGAAATTAGAAAATTGCGCCCGGTCTCGCACCCAAATTTCCATCTCCTTCCCTTTCAACAGGCTAGTGTATAAAAAATATATACCTATAAAAAAAGAAAATGTCCTCATGCACACCATGCTAAGGTTTCATCCTCGCCCATAGCAGTCTTCTTTAGGGTTTTCACTCTATGGTTTCCAACGACCATTCTTGTCTCCACACCGCATCCCCACCCCCCACCCCTTACCGAGGATGCAAACAACCTTGCTTTTCATTGCACGTTACCACTGATTATGGCTAATTTTCTCGAGTATCAGTTTTTAAAGTTTTTCAAAGAATACTGTGAAATTTGTTCCCCGAAAAACTCGAAGTGGGCGAAAATGAGCTAAAACACAAAATTCTTTTAGTTTTAGAGTTCATGTTCAAAATATTGTAGGTGACAGCCTTTTCTTAGAATTTCCTGGCTTGACCCTCTTCCCGTGCTTCTAATTTTTTCAAAACCTTGTTTTGTGTAATTTTTTCTCAATTCAAAATTACGAAATTTTCAAGTCCTTGCAAAATACGCCTTAGAAATTTTTAGACCTCGGTCTCTAACAACCATTTTGCTCATTTCGGTCCGGTTTCGAGGGAACTACGGGAGCGTACTTGGATAAACGTATTTATCGTTTCAATTCCAAATGAATAAGAACGAAATAAAAATATGCGAATTCGAAATGCATTTGAAGAATTTTTTTTGTTTGCGCTCTAGTCTGGTAATGATGACATAATTTCTGCCTAATTAGGCATAGCCTGTTTCAAGTTCCGAGCGTAGTTGGGTCCGCTGAATTGAGAAAGCGCGAACATGAAAATAAAACGGAAGGAAACTGCGGAGTCTCCCCACTATCTGAGAGCCTGGAACAGGCTAAATTAGGCCAGATTTGAAAATGGGTATGGATTTTAGAGATCTGGTCTGAAAAGGGTGTGGAAAATGACATAATAGGGTCAGGATTTGGAGAACCGGGCGGCACACCCCCACCAAGAATTCCCAGGAGCACCCCCTGCCGGGGGTCAGAAGCAGGGTAGTCTCTTGGCTTAGAATATAACGTAGGATGATTCATTTCGGTTTTTATTCACGTATAGATGAGTAATCCCTCCCCTCTAAATACTAGGCTTTTTTACATCCCGGAATGCCCGTTCATTGACCTTCTCGTCTGAGTTCTTCACTTCCTTATATTCCCAAGGCTTTATTTGAAACGGAATAGTGGCATCTAGAAGAATTTTACTCTGACTGACACCGCTACTATTTTTTTATTCGGTGCTTCTCATTGGTTTAAAACTATAAATTGCCTGTTCTCGTCTAACTCCTTCTTTTTATATAAAATTCAGAGTTTACTTTCAGTTGCCTTGAGTAGCGGCACAACCTTTTTTCCTTGTTACGTCCGTGCAGTACGCTTTCCTTCTCCACATGACGCTAACGTTGGGGAGAATACGTGGAATAGATCAGACTGCGTGGCCAGCTAAAGGAATGTTTGTGTCTGAGGCAAGGAGCTGGACTGCTGTTTCATGCTAGTCCGCTTTCTGTTTCTCTCAGTTTTACCTTTCTAAAGCTGCTTTTATATACATAGTCTGTAGTCCGCGTTTTATACCAAGTACTGACCTAGTCCGTGTTTTATACCCATGCAGTCCTCAGTCCGTGGTCCGCAGTCCATGTTTACCTTGGTGTTTTACTAACCGCTTCAGTTATCCGCGGAGCAATCTTGGTAAAGTTAATTTGCTCATAGTTCAGTTTTAAGAGATCTTGTCTTGAATAAGACACCTCTTATGTAAGGAAAGTATGAAATATTCCTCGTACAAATGACACAATAAGTCGTTTATTCAATTCTTGTTTTCCAGTGGAAGAGTCGTGGAAGGGGTTTTCCTGATTTTCCAATAACCTGTTGAATGGTTTTCAATGGCACCAACCTGAAAGCCAATCAAACGGCGCGAATCATCATTCAATCAAAACAGAGAGCATGGCGGACTAGACTACGAGTAGTCCCCCATTTTTCCTCAGGGATAGTAGAGCTAGCAAAACGCGAGCGCGCGTGAAAATCAACCCACGCGAGAAAAGGCGACACGCGGCGGGGAGAGAGAAAAATGAGGGACTACAGACAAAGCCCAAGCTTTTGACCCTTCACGGCCGACTGATTTCGGAGTGTGAAGTTCGTATCCCCTTCTAAATCAATTAAGCGCATCCAATGGGATTCCTTCCCTCGTTGAACTGTCATTGCTCTTGTCATCGGTAAACTGCGTGGGATATTTATTGCAAGCAAAAGAAAACCCAGATACTAATTTTCTTCACGGCTGTTTCGCGTGAAGAACTTGATAGTGTAGGCAACACACGACTTTTACTCATGCCAAAATGCTGCTTGTTCCAGTGAATTATTTTTCTCTGACGGATCGATTATGCTCTGGAGGAAAACGTTTTGACTGAGCGAATGTGATTTTTGCCGCTTATTTCATACCGAGAGGTCGTGACACGCATATTAATTTCCTGCGGTTATTGTTTATGGTCGGCATGATTTGCCCTCTAATGCAAGAGCATTTTCTTTGACCTCTTTTTGAAAAGTAAAGCTCTTCAATGCGGCTAAATAAGGGTTTTGGGTTGTTTAATTTCTCCGGCGATTGCCTCCTGGATCTGAATAATTTTAAGCGATTTTCTTTTTGGCCGTGAATGTGACGGTTTCCTGCAATGTTTTGTCACGCTGTGCTCAGCTCGTTAGCGATTTTAGCAGGACTGATAACGATATCCAAATCTCGAAGAATGGATTGCAGCTTAAACTAAAACTACATTAACTATGGAGAATTGCGATGTGACTCAGTGATGACTGCTCGTGAATTTTAACTGCCGCTTGTTTTTCTGGAGATAATGTGAGTCTTTGGACTGGAGTGCGTAGTTCCTCCCTTGGTGATAACTTTTGAATAAGCTTAACAGCCTTGCGACTGTTCCGTTATTCACTTCCCACTTTGTGATCGGACAAGACCATGGTTTCGGTTCTCCACGCGAACCTCATCAGTTGCCGGGTTGGCTTTCTTCTTAGTTTCTTCTACAAGAGCAACTCTGACTAGTTATTTGTTCTTTGCTGTTATTAGTTCTGCTCTAGTTATTAGTTCTGTAATTGTGATTATGTCGAGTGTTGATAGCGGCTGGCGCGTTTTTGACAGATGTTGACAGATTTCCATGAAAGAGCCAATCAGAGTTTTGCGTTGTGAGAGCAACGCATTAGTTCAAAAGCTTGGGCTTTGTCTGTAGTCCCTCATTTTTCTCTCTCCCGCCGCGTGTCGCCTTTTCTCGCGTGGGTTGATTTTCACGCGCGCTCGCGTTTTGCTCGCTCTACTATCCCTGAGGAAAAATGGGGGACTACTCGTAGTCTAATGGCGGACGGATTGCTTTCAGCTAGTCGAAGTTTCCATCACAAACACGACGACGTTGGCGTTATTACCGAATCATGCACAGTTTATCATAGGCGATGGTATATTTTAGTAGTTTTCTCTCTGATCGCAGGAGTGCAAGCAGCTGTTTGGAACACATGGGGGCCAATAACTGGCTCCGCCGAAGATGTGTTTGGATGGTCAGATGGGACGATAGCGTTACTAGAAAATTGGGGGCCAATTGCATATATTATATCGTTCTTGTTGTTTTCTTGGCTCATGGACATTAAAGGTTTGTGTTTGTTTTTGCTAAAATTCGTGGAGGTTGGGGATCGGATTCTGCAAGATTTTGCTATGACAATAACAAGTTATTGCGTGCACGTTTCATAGCTCTTTGCGCGCGTTTACATCCGCTGCAATAATCCATGTTTAAATTATCTTCAAAAACAGCTTGTACCACTAGTAACCCTGCAAGCTTTTAGATGAAACTACGCTGCCGAGATCACTGTTTCAGGTTCTTAGTCAGGGAGTAGGGTCTTATAAGCTTAACAAACTGGTTGATTTCCTGTTGTTCAGACGTTCACTAAACGGGTTATTTATAAGTGGCCATCAGCAGTTACTGTATCAATCGACACTAGCTTTTATAAAATATTCGTAACAATATCGATTGATGTTATAAAATACACGACAATGTAAATGTCTCTATTAGCTAGATAAATCTGAAGAAAAAAACAGCTCACTTGTTCAAGTTTATATATTGCATAACAGACACATGTAAATCTTTTAAAAGAAAATTTACTGCAAAAACCACAGGTAACCCAGGCTCGCTGTTTGTGTCACGTACGGGTTTCATAACGTGAGTAAACATAGAGAACATATGAGGCAAAGTTTAGGTCCGGAAATTTGCTAGAAAATGGAAATAAAAATCGATGAAACTTACCAAGTGGCGAGTTGTTGTTGTCCTTAATATCCGCCATTTTAGTAGGTTAACGTAAGAGTTCTACAGAGGCTGCTGGCTTCACATTGCAAGCTGGAGATGCTTCTGTGGTTTCAGGGTTTAGAGAAATTAAATTAAATTAATTTAATATAGAAATAAAAGTATTAAAAGTCTTGTTATTTACATGTCCTATCTGCTGCATTTTCTGTAGGTCTGAGGGTATCTGTACTCGTAACAATTGCGCTAATGTTCGTTGGAACAGGGTTACGTTGTATCACATCAGAACCAAAGAATGCTACATGGTGAGTGACTTGTTGGTGTATTTTTTTATTCTTGGTCCAAATAAAAACATGTTTTGTTTCAAATTTATTGTTGTGTATTATATTGCTATACCCAGATACATAAAAATGACAAATTTGTAAAATTTGCTCCAAGGATGTATTTTAGCCTTTTATTACAGTTTTTAAAATGTCCAGAGTGGTTATGTCTTTGGTTTGTATTTATTGTATTATTTTTATTTTATTGTCACATGGTTTTATTCCTGGCCTTTCAGCTCTTCGTCAATCATACCCAGCTACAACATTCAGTTGACCTGTGGAATATTGTAAAAAATTATGACATCCCCTTTTTAAGAAACATCCTTGTCTAATAAATGCCTCCTTTCCCTTTACAATGTTAAATTTGTATTGATCAGTGCCCCTCTCTGATAAACACCCCCTGTCTAATAGACGCCCCCATGACAATTTCTCCACAAATATACCAGCAAATAACAAAAAGGAGCACATTAAAGCATCTTGTTCAATGTCAAATTCAAATGACGACACAATGGCCAAGAATGAAGACTCGGACAATGAAGTTGAGATTTGAAACAGAGATATGGATCTCTAGACAATTATATAAATGTAGATATATCACTGGATCATCTGGATATTCTGCTATTTTATTTATTTTAATTTATAAACTCCCTTGATATTTTCACCAAAAACATATTAGTTTTGTTTAGCTTGTTAAAACCATAAAAGTAGACGCTAAATGCCTCCTATCTATTAAACACCCCCTCTTACCCCTAAAATTAACTAGACGCCCAGGGTGCTTTTTAGAAGATCAATTTTATGGTATGTCCAGCAAACCTGTCTAATAATGGAAAATTATTTTTATTTAATGTAGGTTGATCCACATAGGTCAATTTCTCAATGACCTCGCTGCACCAGTTGCCATGGGAGCACCACCTTTAGTGTCGTCAACATGGTTTCCTCCTCATCAAAGAGCAACAGCGACAGCAATTGCTTCATTAATGAGCTACGTTGGAATATCTGTGTCCTTTGGTGTAGGCCCCTTTGTTTTGAATCCCTCAGAAGTGGCTGAACCTCCTAATGCGACCATGCTTGATGTGGCAGATGTTGATAATATTACAAACAGTTAAGTTTTACCTGTGGCAAAGTCAAATGCTTGCAAAAATTTGCTTTTGAGTACTGTAATGATATAGTTGACTTGTGGTTCAACTTGTTCTGTGGTTCAAAAAACATGAGGAGGACTAAAATGTTTCTTTGCTCCTCATCTTAGATTATTATGGTTACTGTAATGAACCTGCAGACACTAGCTAAGAAAATTTAAGTAGAAGTCAAGCTGGCTTGAGAATTTTTGTCCTTTATTATTTGGTAAAGACTGAAATTAATTCAGCTCCAATTCTAAGTGAAAAAATATTATAAATGTTTTTGTCGTTATTATTGTAAAAGCCATATGACAGCAAAGAGGTTAATTACTGTCTTGACTTCTTTCAATCAACTCTCTCATATTTTTGGCCTTCCAATCTTTAAAAGTTTCATCTTTTTTGTTTTAAATGGTCATGCTTTAATGTTTAGTACTTTTTTTCCTCATAGAAATGCCTTGGAGTGAAGCAGTGTCCATTGCAAAAAGACACATTATGTTGTATATGTATATAGGTAAGTGGTTTTAATTTGGTTAATGTGAAATTAATGATGTCACGTTTATTTTAAAAGTAACAAAATATATACTTTTTTTCAGACCTTCTGGTTATTGTTACTGTAGTACAATGTGATGATTTTTCTTTAACCTTTTGTGGTCTGAACAAAAATTTTTCCCATCATGATCAGCTGTTAATAGACTAGTAGTTTGATCCTGAAATCAACAAAACTCTTGATTGCTTATTGCTTATTGAGACAATACTTAACAGTGTGCCCCAGGCTCCTTAAGTGTAATAGTGTAATCATGTGATTAATGCTTTTGTAATGTAATAACCTTGTTTGTCTTCTGCCTTCTGCAGAGTTTGGAATAGTGTGCCTGTTGTTTCTCTGTGTGCTGTTATACTTCCCAGCAAAACCTCCAAAGCCACCCAGCTTTTCTGCAGCAAAGAAGAAGGTTGATTACATAGAAGGCGCAAAGAGGCTTATGAAGTAATGTACACAGTCAACATATATTATTGTTATTATGTTTTACACTAACTCTGCATCGTTCCTGTCATTTCTCACCCATTTTTCCCAATTTCTGCCACCTTTCTTCGATCCATCCCTATTTCCTTTCTCCCTTTTCCTGCTCTATTTCTCTCAGTTCCTGCTCTGCTTTTCCCACTTCCTGGACCATTCTTTCAGTTTCTTCCTATTTCTCCCAGTTCTTGCACCCTTCCCCTTTATACAGTTCCTTCCCCTCTTTTCCGAATTTGCCCTGCTCCCTTTTTACCTCTTCCTGCCCCAGTCTCTCAGTTGCTTGTCCTTTTTTCCCAGTTCATATTTCCCATTTTCCAGCTCTTTTCACTTTCCCCTTTTATCTGTCCCATCTGTTCCACTTTTATTTATTTTCCAGTTTGTTCTCTTATTTGTCCAGCTCATGTCCTTTCTTTTATGCAGATCATGCCTCCTTTTCTCTCCTTTCTTTTATGCAGATCATGCCTCCTTTTCTCTGTTCCTATTTCCTTTGCCCACTTTCCATTCCCATTACTCCATCTTCTCAGTTCTTACCATCCATCTCTTTTTCCCAATTCCCTTGCCCTTCCTTCCAGTTCCAGTTGGTGTTCTGTTAGTTCTCTCTTTGTACTTGATGTAACAAGCTTTTTTGTTCACTGGGATGAAACAATGCCGGGGGAGTTAAACCATTGGGACATGGTTGATCAAAATTACCCAAATTATAAAAAAAGTGATTTTTGTTTTTACTATTATAACAGAAACTGGCAGTTCTGGAATTTGAATGTACTCTATGGGTCCACAACAGGTAATGAACTTGCATACTGCATTTGCTCAAATAACCACCAAATCTTAAATAAGCTCCACCTCAGTTGAAAGTTAAAAATTTACATTGAAGGATTTGTATGGAGAACTACTCAACCGTGAGTGGATGGCAAGAGTTGATTATCCAATACAAATCCTTCAAATTTTTGGCAGTCGTCGTAATTGCTAATTTTGAGAATCATATATGATTGAAAATTTATAGGTTAGGCTATTTAAATATGCTCTTTAAGTTCCTGATAGAAGCATTTTTCCAAAAAGAATTGTTTTCTTGTTTACAGAAGGTTGATCACATGACCAACTATTGACCAACTAGAAAAGGTCTATTCAGATTTATCCTGACTTTCATCCTTGATGGTTCTTTTTTTCTGTTATTGTTCATTCTTCATTAGCTTAGTGCACAATGTAAATATCTTAAATTGTCATTTTGAAACCATTTTTGTGTTTTATGGTAGGTGTTTTCAGTGGATGGGGCGGAGTTCTGGCTGTAAACCTCCTTTCATTTAACTTGAAGCAAGTATGATACAGATAATTTATCTCTATCTTCTATGAATAAACTTTCAGGCAATGTATTGATGTAGTTAAAAGATACTCATGGTGATCAATGACAGCCGATCAAATCTTTCACACTGAGCCAACGATATAAACTATCTCATACCGAATGATTGATGTTAGCAGCGTCTGAACAGATCTGAGCAAGTTATTTCTTCCAGTCCATATATATTCAATTTATAGTTAATTATAGACACGTAAATGTTTAAATTCAGTTTTATTGCTCTTAGCACGTGTTAGAACCGTGGTAGAATTTACCACGCTAGGTTGCCCTCCGTAATCTTTCCGAAATATGGTAATGTTGTAGAAAGGGAGAAAACAACAGTGAATAGATTACTGAGGGCAACCAAGTGCGGTAAATTTTTGCGTGCTGCATGGGAATTTGATGTTGTGCTAAACTCGAAACAGTAGGAAATCCCAGAGTAAAAAATTATCCAAATCTATCACATCGCTTCATTATTTACTAATTTTGCGCCTACGTTAGGCAACTTAAAATGTTTCAATGGACGCATCTTATAGTAGACTGATCAATTGCAGCAATGAAATTTTTTTAAGAACATTTATTGTCGAATTTTGGTTTAATCGCTGTTTTCAGGAAAGTGGCGTTAGAAATTACAAAAAGAGCTCAGCATTGTGTTTTACCCAGATTCACATGCTTTCATGTTTTTCGAAATGGCGCAAGTCTACTTGCGTTTAGCTGATTGTAGAGTGTATTAGGGAAACATCTAAAAAGTAGAAAATTAAGGTCTGAGGGTATCTGTACTCGTAACAATTGCGCTAATGTTCGTTGGAACAGGGTTACGTTGTATCACATCAGAACCAAAGAATGCTACATGGTGAGTGACTTGTTGGTGTATTTTTTTATTCTTGGTCCAAATAAAAACATGTTTTGTTTCAAATTTATTGTTGTGTATTATATTGCTATACCCAGATACATAAAAATGACAAATTTGTAAAATTTGCTCCAAGGATGTATTTTAGCCTTTTATTACAGTTTTTAAAATGTCCAGAGTGGTTATGTCTTTGGTTTGTATTTATTGTATTATTTTTATTTTATTGTCACATGGTTTTATTCCTGGCCTTTCAGCTCTTCGTCAATCATACCCAGCTACAACATTCAGTTGACCTGTGGAATATTGTAAAAAATTATGACATCCCCTTTTTAAGAAACATCCTTGTCTAATAAATGCCTCCTTTCCCTTTACAATGTTAAATTTGTATTGATCAGTGCCCCTCTCTGATAAACACCCCCTGTCTAATAGACGCCCCCATGACAATTTCTCCACAAATATACCAGCAAATAACAAAAAGGAGCACATTAAAGCATCTTGTTCAATGTCAAATTCAAATGACGACACAATGGCCAAGAATGAAGACTCGGACAATGAAGTTGAGATTTGAAACAGAGATATGGATCTCTAGACAATTATATAAATGTAGATATATCACTGGATCATCTGGATATTCTGCTATTTTATTTATTTTAATTTATAAACTCCCTTGATATTTTCACCAAAAACATATTAGTTTTGTTTAGCTTGTTAAAACCATAAAAGTAGACGCTAAATGCCTCCTATCTATTAAACACCCCCTCTTACCCCTAAAATTAACTAGACGCCCAGGGTGCTTTTTAGAAGATCAATTTTATGGTATGTCCAGCAAACCTGTCTAATAATGGAAAATTATTTTTATTTAATGTAGGTTGATCCACATAGGTCAATTTCTCAATGACCTCGCTGCACCAGTTGCCATGGGAGCACCACCTTTAGTGTCGTCAACATGGTTTCCTCCTCATCAAAGAGCAACAGCGACAGCAATTGCTTCATTAATGAGCTATGTTGGAATATCTGTGTCCTTTGGTGTAGGCCCCTTTGTTTTGAATCCCTCAGAAGTGGCTGAACCTCCTAATGCGACCATGCTTGATGTGGCAGATGTTGATAATATTACAAACAGTTAAGTTTTACCTGTGGCAAAGTCAAATGCTTGCAAAAATTTGCTTTTGAGTACTGTAATGATATAGTTGACTTGTGGTTCAACTTGTTCTGTGGTTCAAAAAACATGAGGAGGACTAAAATGTTTCTTTGCTCCTCATCTTAGATTATTATGGTTACTGTAATGAACCTGCAGACACTAGCTAAGAAAATTTAAGTAGAAGTCAAGCTGGCTTGAGAATTTTTGTCCTTTATTATTTGGTAAAGACTGAAATTAATTCAGCTCCAATTCTAAGTGAAAAAATATTATAAATGTTTTTGTCGTTATTATTGTAAAAGCCATATGACAGCAAAGAGGTTAATTACTGTCTTGACTTCTTTCAATCAACTCTCTCATATTTTTGGCCTTCCAATCTTTAAAAGTTTCATCTTTTTTGTTTTAAATGGTCATGCTTTAATGTTTAGTACTTTTTTTCCTCATAGAAATGCCTTGGAGTGAAGCAGTGTCCATTGCAAAAAGACACATTATGTTGTATATGTATATAGGTAAGTGGTTTTAATTTGGTTAATGTGAAATTAATGATGTCACATTTATTTTAAAAGTAACAAAATATATACTTTTTTTCAGACCTTCTGGTTATTGTTACTGTAGTACAATGTGATGATTTTTCTTTAACCTTTTGTGGTCTGAACAAAAATTTTTCCCATCATGATCAGCTGTTAATAGACTAGTAGTTTGATCCTGAAATCAACAAAACTCTTGATTGCTTATTGCTTATTGAGACAATACCTAACAGTGTACCCCAGGCTCCTTAAGTGTAATAGTGTAATCATGTGATTAATGCTTTTGTAATGTAATAACCTTGTTTGTCTTCTGCCTTCTGCAGAGTTTGGAATAGTGTGCCTGTTGTTTCTCTGTGTGCTGTTATACTTCCCAGCAAAACCTCCAAAGCCACCCAGCTTTTCTGCAGCAAAGAAGAAGGTTGATTACATAGAAGGCGCAAAGAGGCTTATGAAGTAATGTACACAGTCAACATATATTATTGTTATTATGTTTTACACTAACTCTGCATCGTTCCTGTCATTTCTCACCCATTTTTCCCAATTTCTGCCACCTTTCTTCGATCCATCCCTATTTCCTTTCTCCCTTTTCCTGCTCTATTTCTCTCAGTTCCTGCTCTGCTTTTCCCACTTCCTGGACCATTCTTTCAGTTTCTTCCTATTTCTCCCAGTTCTTGCACCCTTCCCCTTTATACAGTTCCTTCCCCTCTTTTCCGAATTTGCCCTGCTCCCTTTTTACCTCTTCCTGCCCCAGTCTCTCAGTTGCTTGTCCTTTTTTCCCAGTTCATATTTCCCATTTTCCAGCTCTTTTCACTTTCCCCTTTTATCTGTCCCATCTGTTCCACTTTTATTTATTTTCCAGTTTGTTCTCTTATTTGTCCAGCTCATGTCCTTTCTTTTATGCAGATCATGCCTCCTTTTCTCTCCTTTCTTTTATGCAGATCATGCCTCCTTTTCTCTGTTCCTATTTCCTTTGCCCACTTTCCATTCCCATTACTCCATCTTCTCAGTTCTTACCATCCATCTCTTTTTCCCAATTCCCTTGCCCTTCCTTCCAGTTCCAGTTGGTGTTCTGTTAGTTCTCTCTTTGTACTTGATGTAACAAGCTTTTTTGTTCACTGGGATGAAACAATGCCGGGGGAGTTAAACCATTGGGACATGGTTGATCAAAATTACCCAAATTATAAAAAAAGTGATTTTTGTTTTTACTATTATAACAGAAACTGGCAGTTCTGGAATTTGAATGTACTCTATGGGTCCACAACAGGTAATGAACTTGCATACTGCATTTGCTCAAATAACCACCAAATCTTAAATAAGCTCCACCTCAGTTGAAAGTTAAAAATTTACATTGAAGGATTTGTATGGAGAACTACTCAACCGTGAGTGGATGGCAAGAGTTGATTATCCAATACAAATCCTTCAAATTTTTGGCAGTCGTCGTAATTGCTAATTTTGAGAATCATATATGATTGAAAATTTATAGGTTAGGCTATTTAAATATGCTCTTTAAGTTTCTGATAAAAGCATTTTTCCAAAAAGAATTGTTTTCTTGTTTACAGAAGGTTGAGCACATGACCAACTATTGACCAACTACAAAAGGCCTATTCAGGTTTATCCTGACTTTCATCCTTGATGGTTCTTTTTTTCTGTTATTGTTCATTCTTCATTAGCTTAGTGTACAATGTAAAGATCTTAAATTGTCATTTTGAAATCATTTTTGTGTTTTATGGTAGGTGTTTTCAGTGGATGGGGCGGAGTTCTGGCTGTAAACCTCCTGTCATTTAACTTGAAGCAAGTAGGATACAAATAATTTATCTCTACCTTCTATGAATAAACTTCCAAGCAGTGTAGTGATGCAGTTAAAAGATACTCATGTTGATCAATGACAATCAATCAAATCTACCTTATATCGAATGATTGATGTTGGCAGCGTCTGAACAGATCTGAGCAAGTTATTTCTTCCAGTCCATATATATTCAATTTATGGTTAATTATAGACGCTTAAATGTGCCTATTTAGCGTCATTGCACCCAGCACGTGGTAGAACCGTGGTACCACGCCTGGTTGCCATCCGTAGTCTTTCCGAAATATCGTAACGTTGTAGAAAGGGAGAAAACAACAGTGAATAGATTACGGAGGGCAACCAACTAGCGCGGTAAATTTTCGCGTGCTGCATGGGAATTTGATATTGTGCTAAACTCGAGACAGTAGGAAATCCCGAGCAAAAAAATATCCAGATCTCTCACATCACTTCATTATTTACTAATTTTGCACCAACGTTACGCAACTTAAAATGTTGTGATAGATTTTATTCGAAACCAATAGATCTCTACAGTAACGGGCTTCTATTCCGATACACTTGCCAAAAACGATAGGGTTCCACAAAAGTAACGGGCTTCTAAACCGATACACGTGCCTTCAACAAAATTACAATTCTCTAAATCGAAAAACTACTCCGTTCAAAGTGTCACATGATCACGTGTTCGAAACGTGATCGGCTACATCTAAGGTCAAAAAATGTCACGCGCGAAAAGTAACACAAAACTCCGTGACAAATGTTTCAATGGACACGAAAATAGGGCGTCTTATAGTACACTGATCAATTGCAGCAATGAAATTTTTTAAAGAAAATTTATTGTCGAATTTTGGTTTAATCGCTGTTTTCGTCAAAGTAGCCTTAGAAATTACAAAAAGGGCTCAGCATTGCGTTTTACCCAGATTCACATGTTTTCATGTTTTTCGAAATGGCTGAAGTCTACTTTCGTTTAGCTAATTGTAGAGTGTATTAGGGTAATTTGCAAAACGTGTGAGCGATAAAACCTTTCCGGAAACATCCAAAAAGTAGCAAATTTGTCTGCATAAAGTCCAGTCTTCAGTTCATGCATAATTTATACCCTTTTTGTAGAAACTGCAAGATATCTCGAAATTCCTCTTCTGTGAAACTTCGCAAAAACGGAAGTATGCGCAGCGTAAATCATTTGCAAAGTTCGGGTTGATGAGGGCTGAAATTCGTTTAAAGCTAAAACCATTGTGACGACATTGACACATGATATTTATTCCGATCGCCCAAAAAATAATATCATAATAAAGTTTAATCCATATGTAATATTGGTTTTACCATAAAGATCAATTTGTTTATGTATAAGAGATTCAAAGATGGAAGGTGTCGCTACAGAATTATTGTATCGAGCCACCTTAAGCCCCGTTTTCAAGGGCACGTTTCTCAATAGGAAAACTGGCCAAGCAATACACCAAGTAATGAGCAAACAGTGCGCGAATTTTATTAATTTGACTGAAATACTTCTTATTTATGCTCAGTTCAAATCGGTGCGGCACATTATGATAATGTTTAAAATGATCATTACTTGTGGAGTACTTTCAAGTATATTGCACCAAGTACATCAGTAATTTTATGTTACATAGTGCGCCAACAGTTGTTATTTATTTCACTCTTTATGTGTTCAGGATACGGCAGGATGGATTGGTTTCTATGCCAATATAACAGGCTGTATTTTTGGATTTATCATGGCTAGGTAATGAAGTTTACAAGTAGTACCCAGGGGGTAGAGGGTGGGGTATTGATGTTGTATAGATTACTTTTGTTCTGAGGGAGGAGGGGGTTAATGTTATACGGTTTATTTTGATTCTTATGGCATTGATCACAGGCAGCCTAAGTTGACGAGTGAAAATCACTGTTGAATTTCATAACGTAACTATATAAGTTGTACGGTATTTTATTGTGCGTTGATGTCATGTTAGTTTATTTCAGAGTGATTCTAGCACGTTTTTATCCTGGCGTTGTCCTCTTTATATATCGTTTACTATTATACTATGTAAACTGTGGATTTGGAATCAAATGGCGACGTCCCAGCTTACTGTTAATATGGTTACACATGTGCAGAGAACACTTGTGTTGTCTTTTCCTGCCAGCAGAGGCACTTTTCCCTGTTATTCGGTGGGCCAAATACCAGGGAGAAGTAGCCTCTGCTAGCAGGGAAATGTTGTCTTCCATCATCCTCATCATTTAATTCATTTGTTAGCCCTAAACCGAGGATAAACCGAGGGTAAATTGAGTCTTCCTGACTTAGCGCATGGACTTTTTATCTCCTATTTAGAGAATTTAAGGTCTGATTGGATATGGCTTCGTTTAAATATTGTAGTATAGATCATAATAGGACCGGTTGTGAGACGTCGCGCATAACCAATTTTAATTTGATTCATTGTTAGGTTTGCGGATGTATTTACAGGACACATGAAGTTGTTTCTCATTTTTCTTTTCGTGGGTTCTACTGGCTCCTTCCTCTGGTTTTCTCTGCTCTGTCAAGGTCTTATTCCGTTTGGAATAGGTACGTTTTGACTACATCCGTTTGAACACCCCGTTTGTCTCTGTTCGTACGGATCGCGTCTTTTTTAGACGTAATCGGAAACCTATTAGGGAGCTGAATATGCAAAAACGACCGCGACGTCTACGAAAATGTCACTTAAAAAGTGTGTTTGCACTGCTTTAAACTTTATAGCGCTTATTCGAACTCGTTCATGTCGTCGAATTTTGGAGAATATCTCGGGAGTTGAATTCTAAAGAAAAAGAGGGTCGTTTTTTAGTGTTCACGTCCTTCACAAAACGTGAAATTAATGAGTCAGTTTCATGTTGTAGTTGTACAACGACTACAAAGACTGAATATACAAAAAAGCGTAATGCACGTGCAAAGATAGGAAATAGAGCAATTTGATTAGTTTATCGAACGGATACAAACGCGCGTGGCTTTTGGTTGGTTAAGCGAACGCTCTGGTGAAAAAACGTCAAGCCCGAGAACTTTCTAGAAATCAACCGATAGTTCGCTTTGACGTCATACTGCAACACGATTGGCCAATCGAACAATGCCTTCTCCATATTAGGGTTTTCTCTGGCGGGAAAACGAAGAGTCCATGTTTTGATCTTCTCATCCATTGGCTGACAAAACAAATAACGAACACTTACGGAAACCATTTTTCAAGGTCGAAAATCGCTCTATTGTTTTGCTTTTAAACCTATTGCTTTTTTTGCCGTTCTCGTTGCTGTCACCGGCGTCGTTGCTTAAGCTCCCCAATATTTTAAACTTTCCTCATACTTTATTCGTGTTTTTTTTTTCTTTTCCACCTTCAGTTTGGCTTTACATCTCAGCTGTTCTTGGTGGCTGTTTTATCAATGGCTCTATCCCTCTGTTTTATGAACTTACAATTGAGACAACTTATCCCATCGCTGAGGGAATTCCTATGGCTGTAGTTACCACTTCAAACCATGTGGCCTGCTTGCTGTTCTTGGCAGCTCTTATGATCCCTGGTATAGGTAAGTCAGATGGAAAGCTTGCTCCTACTTCTTGGCTTTTGTTTAGCAAGGGAAACATTTGCAAAGAAACAGTACTGAAATTGTGAAAGTCATAATCATACAGTTTCAGTGATTTCAATCAATGTTGTGCCAGGAATTTCAGGCCACAAAGAGAAGTTTCGGGAGGATCTAAATAAAACCGTGGTTTCCACAAATGGGGATCACCCCATTGTAAACTTTTATTCCCTTTTATCATAATCCGAATAAAAAATTATGAGGATTTTTACCCCGGGTCAACCCGCCCTTCGGGCAGTCCGTAAGGACCTTTTTGTACGAAGAAAAGTTGGCCTTATGCCCTATAAAGAGGGTCACCCTTCCAGCCAATTCAACCTAACGTGCGTTTATATGAGAAAAACATTGTCCCTTTGCTCGATAGCTCAAGCCAACAGCCAGCGCTCGCGCATGCTCTGATCGCCACGTTTTTAAAGGAAATAAATGGGTTGCTCAAGTAGGCGAGTGACCCTTCTACCGGGGACACAGGCCGCCCAAGCTCATTTCATGAACGCGGACGTGACTCTTGCTTGCGAGCGGTGTTGTGTTACAAACGGTTATTTACAAAGCTTTGTATGTGATGCAAACGGCTTTTCTTAAAAGAGAGAAGAAATGTATTTTTTTTT